CTTTACAGGGTCTTTAAATAGCAGAGTTGGAAATAAGAACTTAAAACGACCTCCAGGGTGTACAGAGGAAGAGCTGTGCCTGCTAAGGTGGAACAAAGACCAGTAAAGCTAGAAAATTCAGATAAAAGAAGATGTTCTGATGTTTCCTTGGGATCCTCAGAGTACTCAAACAAGAAGCAACAACCCAACATCAGCTATGTATTTAAGCCCATGTGAAGTGCTGGCCTGCTGAAGGCAGCAGCAAAGTGCTCATGAACTTCAGTGGAGCCAATGAATATTCATCAACCTGTGGTGTCTCACTTTAGGTGATCATCCCTGTCCAGCATGGGAAGTGGCCTTGTCCCAGGCTTCTCCCAACTGTACACTTGGAAAATGGATCTTTCAGCATTACTGCCTTCAGCCAGATTTCATACAGGAACCTAGAAGCCACAACCCCATGTATTACCTCCCCAGCTCCTGAGGAACTTCAAACTCTGCCCAAAATGCCATTGTGTAAGACACAATAAATAGTGCAAATATGTATTTCATTAGGAATTAATTTTCTTAAAGTTCTCGGCACTGCAATGATTATATTTGATCAAATGTACCAAGCACTTTGGTCATTTCATTCAGGTGCATGAACAGGCTGTTCTGAAAATCTGTCTCCAATTTGTAAGATCAGGAAAATATGTTAGTGATTCTTTGGAGGTGACAGGGTTGAATTTGGGCAAAGAGAAGAATAACATTTCAGGTGATTGTAACTGTTCCAGAAGTATTACCTAAGACATCTGCTTAATCCTGTATTTAAAGCAAGTTTTGTTTCAAAACAAAGGCGTTTGAAAGCCACCATACAGGTCTGCCACTTTCTATGAAAAGATGTTGCTGGTTGCTCAGCAACCTGGTGCTGGACTGATGCGGCTCCTGGGCAGGGACGGGCTGGTGAATCCTGCTGCATGCCAAGAACTGATCAAACTCATCTTCTTCTAAGTGCTTTCCTCTTGAGTGGCAATGATGCTCAATCAATTATCTGCCCTCGCTGGGACAAGGCAAGCAGGGTGACTGATGAACAGAGCAGGGTCCTCTCACTAATCTGTGCCACAAGCTTGATCAAAACTCACTGAAGGCAGTGGCAAGGATCCAGGCAATTCCTCTCTCTCCCAGGAGCACGCAAGGTTTGGGATTTCTTGGGTAAAAGCAGTGTGAGCATTGGACATCAAGGAGAAGTACAGGAGAGAGTTAAGCAACCTGTGGTCCTAAATCAGAAGGATGAAACATATTGAGGAACAAGAGATGTAAGACATTCTTACTGTTCAGAATTAGATGAAAGTGAAAAGATTTTCTACACCCATCTGCAAAGACAACTTTTAAAACCTCTTAATCCACCCATGTGAACTCACACGTCTATCTGACAAGACAAGGCAAAGTTAGTGGTCGAGGATTGACAAAGATGGCCAAAATATTTAAAATTTTAAGAAACATACTACTTCTGTGTAGCATTAGGCAATCTAAGACTAGCAGACTCAATCAAATAATGAGGAAAAGCTGTGGGAGGTAGAAGTAACGAAGCCTGATTTCCTACAGTCTTCTGCCTTGTTACTGTCTGTAGGTGCTGACTGGTGGGAGGTCTCTGGGGCTGTCTGCTGTAGCCCCTCTCTGGAGCCTAACAACCCACCAGCTCACATCCACAGTTCCCTCAGCAACAGCATCCAGAAGAGGTACAAAGAAGATGTCTCTCACGCACTTGCATGTTTCTTTCTCCCAAATTACATGGTCTTCGTTGCTGCTGAATCCTTGCTTCCCTGTCATAATCAGATGAGAACACTACCAAGTTCAAATACAAACATGCACAGGCACTCACACCAAGGCTGGAAGTGCCTTTGTCAAATCACACTGCCTCTGCCCCCAGCAGAGAGTGGGATGCTGCTTGTGCTCTAGATTCTTTCTGCATATTTGCTGTTATTTTAAATGTACCGCAAGAATGACTCTTAATTTTCCTATACAGGCTACTGTGGTTGGAAAGGACTTAATTATTTCAACATTTATGGGACATTAATAAGGCAGGTCATCTGCAGCTATATCTTATCTTAAATAGGTTAATCACTTCAAGCTGTGATAACGGAAAAGAAGTAGTACACTCAAGATAATACTGTAAGCAACAGGCTAATGAATTATGTCTGCAACTTGCCTCAAATGAGTGGAAGCAAAACTGTTGAACTGTGTGCTATCTGCCTTATTTTACTAGAGATTAATGGCAAAAAAAAATGATTGATTTTGCTCCTGGCAAGCTCCACAGGACTATGGTAACATCTGAGCCCTCAATGGCTGTAGATTTGTGCTTTTAAAGATCACCTTGTGTTGCATTTTCTTCAGGAAACAAAACAAAAGAACAGCTGTTAATTTTGAGTCCAGAGAGAAAGTTTTTAATGAAATGTCCCCTATCTCTCAAAAAAAAATGTTATTTGCTGCAATTCTGATCAGTCACATAGGATATTCTGAGCCAAAGGATCTTATCAGAAAAATAATTTTCTTGGTGTCTGATGTATTTGACAGCACTTCATAAATAATCATTTTGGTACTGATCCAGCAAAGCACTTAAGTGAATACTTAACATTAACCACATAAGGATTTCCTAGATTTCAGTGGGATTATTTGTATACTTAAAGATGAAAATGTGTTGAAGTGTTTTGCTGGATCAGGTCTCTTCAGTATCTCCCCCTGAACCTAATCAGATCTCGTTCTGCTCGTGATGAAGTCAGACAAAGTGCGTGTTCAGTAACTCAGAATCAAGTCCATCTTTTTTTTTTTTTTTTTTTTTTTTTTTTTTTTTTTAATCTCATGCATTTAAATTGCCTTTCTATGAACTGAAAGACAAAACTGTCAGTGACATCCCCAGATCAAGCTTACGGCTATGGTAAAGGTCCCTTATAAATATCTGTAGGGGACTTTAAAAAAATATTTACAACCAGATAAAAATTACCTGAATACATGCTGTTGAGAGAATGGGAAAATACAAGTCAAAGCCTTATCAAATTCAAGTTGAGAATAGGTCATCTCCAAAACATTGCAGGATGCCTAAAACAGAAGGAGGGGCAGGGAACAAGTTCATTTTCATACTGTTCTCTCAGGATGTTTTGTTTGCCTCCTCTGCCTTCTGGAAAGCAGAGAGACCAACACAGCTAGAGGAAAGCAGGCTTTTGAACGCTCTTTTCTTTCACTTTCAGTGAGGGTCGGGGAATATGGGAGAAGAGAGAGCTGGATTCTTTTTTTTAATGCTTCTTTCACCTGGCAGTCCTGTCAGTTGGAAGTTCCTGCTCTGTTTATCAAGCAAGCTGTCTCTGGGACTGACTGAGGAAGAAGAAGTATGAAATACCCAGGCGATAATAACTTTTCTAACCATAACTGATTTACAATAAGCCGTGGGTGGAAAAAGCTTGGAGTCAGAGCATAAGAAAGAGAAAAAAGCTGTGAGTGCTGTTCCCAGCCCTGCCACTGAGTCACAGTCTGGTCGCCACCAGGTCATGCTGCTGCACAGCCGCCTCGCATTTCCCCAGGTGGGGAACTGGGACAGTTAGTGGTGCCACTGCCTCCCTCTTCCCAGATCTGCACTGAGGTTCAATTTGGCAAACGTTGTAAAGCATTTCGATATTCACAGGTGGGGAAACCTTAGAAATGGGAAAAGCAGAGATGTCTGACAGTTTTATACCTATTTGATCAAAGAGTTGAAATTTCTAAAGTCTTCAGATCTGAGCCTTCTTTGGGTAGGTTCTCAGCAGAAGGGGAGAGACCAGCAAATCTGAGTTTTGCGGTAATTCCAGCGGCTCCCCTGACTCCACCCAGGGGCTGTGTGGTACCCAAAGCCAACCCCCATCCAGCACAGGGTGGTACACACCACAGGGACACTGGGAGATGCACAGGTGATTGGGCTAAAGCATTCTCAAAAGCTTGGAATGAAACCAGATGTTTAATCCCTTCCATCTGTGTCTTCATGCACAAGCAGCTCTGGCAGCGGAGGAAGCTGCACGTGGGTTTCCATCCAAGGCACGGGGAGCAAACATCGCCCTTCCTTGGAGAAGCAAAGGGACATGTCGCTGAAAGTCCTGCCAGAGCCCAGGTGGTGCCTTCTCCCTCTGATGGGGAAGGACCAGTCAGGAAGCAATGGTACACTCAAAAAATTATGTTTTATAGATGCACACTGTGCTCTTGCATGGTCTGCTCTCACTCCTTTCACCAACTGATTCCTAACAAGAAGAGCCAACCGCTGCCAGAAACCAAAGAGGCATCAGCGTAGGGACAGAAGGTGGAATCTGATGGCTGGCAAGAGGTAGCAGCACCCTTGGGAAAGATAAAACACCAAGCTAAAAAAATCACTGAAAAGCTAGACGGGCTTATCAGGTCAAATGTTAACTAAAATTGCTCATATTGCTTTTTGCTGTATCTGAGTGATAAATAAATATTTTAACATTCTCTGTGATAGACTAAAACATAAATGATTTGGTCTTGCATGAGGGTCATTAGAAAGAAAATATTAGACATTTTTATTGATAAACAAGTTTGTATAAGTACCAAAACAGAAGCTGTAGGAATACAATATAGCTACATGGAGCTGGTTTTAAAGTCCCAAAGGTTTCTAAGTCAAATTTTCATGTATTCTATTTGAGCAAACTTTACATTAATCTGACATAAGTAATAAGTAATTGGTTATGTGAAATCCTTTTTAATTTTAGCACCATAAAGGGTATACTGCCTTGTAGCCAAAGAGGTTCTAATTTTTTGCTTGGTCTCTATGGAGCAAGTTTAACAGATCCAGCTGTACAATAACCATAAAGGTTTTTAACATGAAGTAAATGAACTAACAGTTTGCTTACATTTTCCTGGATATCTTTAAGATGTGCCTAACTTCAAGGCAAGAATGCTCTTTTAAAATTTTTTTAATGGAGAAACTACTGGTAAGATACGCATAGCTGAAATTTAAAAATAGACACAAACTGACTTTTAAAATTAACAAAATAGAGAAAAATATCTTTAAGGTTTTATAAATGGGTTCCTTTATTAAATGTTTATTTTGTGTGGCAATTCATGCAAGTGTACATAGTGCACTGCACTAAAGCTCTTCCCATCCCAAACATCCAAATAAACATAAACTCACATCTTGGTTTACAGCTAAGCACATGGTTACCTTGTTCGGTTGTTTTTTGCTTGCTATTCAATACACATACATCAAGCTGCTGGTTATGTAAATAATTTGTATTCTGCTCTACAGGACAGGCTAGTAGAAAGTTAATCAATATCAAGAGTTTTAATTATCTATTTAGATAAGAGAAACAAAACACAAACATTTAACTGTATCTTGTTCAGCATGGTGTTTTTCACATTTTTCTTAACATTTATTACATTAAAGAAAGTGAATTCAATATTTCTTAATTATAGTGGGATTTTTCCTTTTATTTGTGTACTGTATCAAGCTGCATTTAAAATCAGTTAAAACATACATGCAGAATTTTAGGACTGTTTTTACAGTTAAAGAAAATGCTATTGAATTCTAAGTAAAAACTTTATTATTTAAATGTAAAAAACTATTTTATTAGATAAATAAAGTACTATCCATATGTAATGCATAGCATCAACTGCACACAGTCCCTGCCTCCTTGCTGATTTTAGAAGTACTGGATCTCATCTGTTCATTTTGACCGTAGGATAGAAACAGAAGGGTTTTCCTGCCTTTCCCAGCTTTGAGCACAGAAGTTACTGGACTAGATTAGTCGAGTGAACTAAAATTTAAAACTCCCTTAGACCCTTAATAAGACACTCGGAAATGATGGTTTAACTCTCCAATAAACTTTAATTTTTGGTGCTTGAGTAGTGACTCCCACCAGGCAAATGACAAAAATTTCTTTATGAACCTGGAAGCAAGTGCAGAGAATAAAATTATGTTTTAATGCTTAATGAACTTATTTTTATAAACTATATTAAGCTTAGTCATGAATCTAAGGTCTCAATTTTTTAAGAAAATTAATCAATACACATCTAGTTTACATCAGTAATCTGGTCATAAAATAAGGTGATCCTTCTCTTAAAATCATTTTATGCACTTTACATATTTTATTTTTGAAACATCTCCTTTATTTGCATCTCTTCCCCCCCTCCCGCTATACAATTCCACATCTCTTTGAATGCCAGGTATTACCATGTCCGTACGCCACTCATGTCCGCAGAATAACACAGCCGGCTAACGGCCGGGCCTGCTTCTGACCAAACAGAAAAGAAATCTGGGGCAGCAGATCTTTGTGGCGAGAAGAGCCGGGCAGCAGCGGCGCTGCCGGCAGCGGGGCCGTGCTGCTCCCCGCTCGCCCCTGTCCACGCGTGTTTCTGTGTTTCGCACACGCAGAAGACGCTGCCTGGGGGGGTAACGTGGTGCAGCTACACCTTCCTCCTACCGCTTCGCCCCCCCTCCCCTGCCCCTTCTTCTCTCAGCACGAAGCCGGGATAACCTGAAGGAACACACGCCACTGAGTAGTCAGGGAAGCCCACCGTGCTGGATTTTTCTTTGAGTTGTTGTTGTCTAACCAAAGCCACGTGTCCCTCAGTTAGGATGAAACCGGTTTGTGGAAAAACACCTATTTTCACTCACAGCTCATTTTCCATCTGCACGACGCATTACCCGGTGAGAGAAACGAGGGGGAGCGGGGCGACGGCAGGGGGGGCAGGGCCGGGGCTGGCAGCCCCCCGGGAGCCGCGGGCACAGCTCGGCCCCGCACCGCGCTGGAGCCACCGGCCCCGCCACGCTCGGCCGCGGTCCCTCCAAACAGCCCACACCCCCGTGCGTCCCCCCGAGCCTCTGTATCTGAGCTAAACGGTGCTGCTTTTAGATCGGGTGTCCACCCCGGCTACTGATTTTAATGTTATTTTACATAAAAGAAAACAATGTATTGCAATTCTTACACTCAGATTTCATGAATAAAACCAAATACCAGAGGAACATTAGAAAAGAACGCTTCAGGATTTGGGAGACAGTAAAGCGAAACAATATACTTTCAGCCTGCCTTAACGTTTTAGCAATAAAATGCAATCAAATGCATGAATACCTTAGCCTCAACCACTGACAGCCGAGCAAACAATCTGTAACACATTCTTCAACTTTGTTCTACAGAAAAGCACAGACTCACTTAAGAGAAAGTCACTTTTCTGAAACGTGTAGGCTCATGCTGCTGCTCCTTTTTCACTAATTTGATAATTGAAACTACAGTCTAGCTTGAATACAGAAAAAATAAACATTTGCATAGGTTTTGCCTGGTCTTTCCATAAATGATGCCTATGTTACCCTGTTAAAATACAGCTCTCAGGATTTAAGATGTGCGTGGAGATTGAGGTTGACTTCTAAACTGTAGAAAGTGATTTTATGGAAAGGATTTAACATGGCTTTAATGAAACTCATAAAAGAACTTTGAAATGCTAAAGAAAGTTACATTTTAATACTTGTAAGATAGTAACTGCAAGTAAAACACCCACTGTACATTAGCAGTACAGATTTTTCTTCATTGACCAAGGATAAAGATTAAAATACATGAAGCCTGTAAAAAACAGCATGTGCAGCCATAAACATACGCACCCAGAAAATCCATTAACATTTAATAATTTTTAAAAGAAACATGTGACTACCAGGAAAACAAAACACTCACAAGATGACCTTTCAAGGAATAAATTAAAAAAAAAAAAAAAGAAAAAAAGAAAAATTATCAGCTTTTTCAAATTTATGACAATCTAATCACAAAATTGCTTCTAAAATAATGCATCTTAACCACATAGACAATCAGTCAAAACTACAGTGTTGTCTCTGTAAACTGAGAAGAACATAAACCATTTTGCAGTCTTTCTGTATGCGCGTCAGTTGTGATTAGCATCTCACAAACCCAAGCAGCAAACTACAGATTGTGGGAAAATCTGTGCGCCCGCAGATGTTGCAGATAGAACACCGAGAGCAGCAGGACAAACACCAACCTGAGGGCCTCGAGACACATGCAAAAGCCAAAAAATATCCGATCCCAGACAGACAAGGCTACTTGAACACAAAACGCCTGACTTGCACCGAGGGCTTCACAGCTCGTGGTGTTTTCAGCGCAGACGAACCGAGGATGTTTCTTCCTTGGTGGGAATGGTGGTGTCCAACAAAGTTGTTACGCAGCTTGTCAGAATCGCACGGGTGAATAACTCACTTTTTGTTTAAAATGCAAAGTCATCTGTTTCTTAAGTGGTACTACACCACATCTCCAATCCTCAGCTTTTTTTCAATCAATTTCTTTATGCTAATCATGAGAATCCTCCCCTTGATGTTTTCCAGAGTCTCTATATTTTACTCCAAAGGCTTGACAACCATTGGAGACTGAAAGAGCAAACACTGGAATCCGCATCCAGTTGGCAGGTATCTGCACAGATTTGCAGCAACAGCTAATTTTCTGGAACAGGGTTTTTTTGCGTCACTTACAGGGATACTGTAATAAGATTCAGTTGTGGATCCTGGGTTTGTGCCTCTAAGGTTTTGCCGTTGTTTTTGAGGTGCAGAGCAGCTCCGCAGTAAAGCTAGGCCATCATTATTACTGTGTAGCTGGTAGGAAGAGTGAGTTTGTTACTCATCTGTGTCCAAGAAAAAAAGGAAAAAAAGAGATTCTTTGACTTAATGGTACTAATCTTTCAGACAATGCAATTAAGGCTTTATACCAGCTTTCTGAAAAGCAATGCATGCAACCTTACTTCTGCAGGAGACACTTCTCTCACAAGCCTACCCCCTGAAAAGGCATCCTACACCCAGGCTTTTCCCCGTGTGGATACGTGAAGAACAATTTGTAATGCAAGTTAACATCTGGTCACACAAGCATCCTCCTTGTCCCCATGGGTTTCTTTGAATCCCTCCGAAACCCCTCTCTGATCCTCTCCCGCCATGTTCCCTCTCCTCATACCTGGGGCTGCAGCTCGGTGTTACTGTGGGGCTGGGGCCTCGGGGCCACGTGTGGAAGGGGGGGGCCCCGCCGAGCGTCAGCCAGGCCCGTCCCCAGTGATGCAGGTGGGATTGCTGAGACCCACGACTGTTCAAACAGGCGCTCTGCACACATTTTACAGTATCTCCCTCTATTTTTACCTTTTCAGGTTTTAGCTGTGCTGCTTTACTATCTTAGGAGCTATGTTACTTGTCATCAAAAAACAGCTTGGTGCTTCATCCATATCAAAAATCTACAAGGTTTCTCCATAAACAGTCTTCCTCACTGAAGGCCAGGAAGAGCTGGTCACAGTCCTGAGCCTGATGCTACCCGGGCAGCAGCAGCCCCTGCCCACTGCCCCCCCCCCCCCCCCCCCCCCCGGGTACCAGCCAACAGCGAGGTAATTATTGTAATTAACTACAGATAATGTCAGTAATTAAGGTCTGTGGGGCAGGCAGCGATGCCATCCTCACTTTGTGCACCAACTTCCCCAAGCTCCTCTTCTGGCAGGAGGTAGTGTTCTTTGGCCAGTGGAGGACACTGCCAAATTTTGCTTGGCTGTACTTAGTTTTTTATTTTTATCTTCTATGGCTTGTAAAAATGCTTTTAAAAGACTGGACATGATTCTTCGTTTTCCCAACTGGCTCCACTTCTCCATTTGCAACAGATCACTACCTTTTGCCCTTTGCCTCCACAGGGGTTGAAATTAACGGGTTTATTTTAACCCATCTCAAATGAGTACGATGCCATTGCCAGGTTGCCTGGGAATGGTACCTACCAGAAGTTGCTTTAGGATTGTTATTACAGGACCAGTGAGGGGAGCTCAAGCCTTGTTTATGGTAGGTCCTACACTAATTATGGCTGCTAGCTACGTCTTTTTCAACCTTGTGCGTGACCAGAGTGGTGGTACACACCAGATGTTCCCCGCCGATGGCGGGCGGGGGTTATCGCACGACGAGGAGCAGAGGAAGGTGGGACCAAACTCTCCCACTCGGTAGGGAGAGGGCGCCCGGTTCCCGCGGCTGCGACGTGACCGGTGCGCGGTACCGAGCGGGGCGGACGCCCCTCGCCAGGCCCGGGGCTGCGCAGCGCTTCTGCCGGGGAGGAGGGACGGGAGCCAGACACCCGCCAGCCCGGGCCGCGAGGGGAACCGGGGCCGCGGCGGCCGCGCCCCCGCCCCGCCCCGCTCCGCCCGCCCAGAGGCGGCGGTGAGGGGCGATGTCCCTCGGCGGGCCGTGTCGGGCGGCCCCGTCCCGTCCCGCCCGCGGGGGCCGGCGCCGGTGAAGAGCCCAGCGCAGAAATTGCGGCCGGCGGAGGCGCTGCGGCTCGGCGGGTCGCGCCGCTCCGCTCCGGGGCCGCCCCGCGGGGCTCCGCTCGCCGCCCAGCCCGGCCCGGCCCGGGGCGGGCGCCGCTTCCCTCCGCGCCGCGGAATCAGCTTAATCATTGCCGAGCCCCCCCCTCCCTTTGCCCCCGGGGCCGCGGCGTGGGGCGCTCTCCCCCGGCGCGTCCCCTTCCCCCGCAGCCCGCCCGCCCCGCCGCTCCCCCGGCTCCAACTTTTCCTGCCTGTTGCTCGCACCGAGCGTCCCGCCCGCCCCGCACCGCCGGGGATGGGCACCGCGGGGCAGCGCCGCCGTTAACCGGCCCGGCGGGCGGGCGGGCGGCTGCGGGGGCGCCCGCCGGGGCTCTCCGCCCTCGCCTCCCCTGCCGCTGCCGTTCTCGCTACCCCGCGCTCGGCGGGCATGGAGGTGCAGCTGGGGGTCGGGCGCGTCTACCCGCGGGCGGGGGGCAGGACCTTCCGCGGGGCCTTTCAGAGCTTCTTCCAGAGCGTCTGCGAGGCTTTCCAGGCGCCGCGGGAGGAGCAGGGCGGCAGCCAGCAGCAGCCGCCGGCGTGCTCGCCCTGCCCGCCGAGCCCCCGGCCGCCCCCGGGCTCGCCCCCTTGCCTGCCGGCCCCGGAGCCCCGCGGCGCCGGGAAGGCGCTGCCGGCGGGCGGCCCGGCCATGGGCTCTCCCTTCGCCTGCGCCGGGGAGCTGCGGGAGCTGCTGTGCGAGGCGGGAGCGCTGCCGCTGCTGCCGCCGCCCGAGGCCGAACCGGCGCCCAAGGAGGACCCGCTGGGCGAGAGCGCCAAGCAGCTCTGCCGGGCCGTGTCCGCCTCCATGGGGCTGGCGCTGGAGGCGCCGGAGGCTCCCGCCGAGCCCCTGCCCCGGGAGGACTGCATGTTCGCGCTGCCCGCCGGGCCCCCCCGCGCCCCGCGCCCGGCCGCCGGGGACCCGCCGGAGCCGCCGCCCGCCCCGGCCGCCTTCGCGGGCACCGAGGCCGCCCTGGCCGTCGGCGCTCCCGCCGGGCCGGGGCTCTACCGCGGCTCGCCGGGGCCCGCGGCGCGGCAACCGCCGGGCTTCAGCCTGGCGCCGCCGCCCGCCCGCATCAAGCTGGAGGGGCCGGCGGGGCCGGCGGCGGGCGGCGGCTGGGGGGCTCCGTGCCGCTACGGCGCCGAGCTGGCCCCGCCGGGCCCCGCGCCGCCCTGGCCCGCCTTCTTCGCCGAGGAGGGGCAGCTCTACGGGCCCTGCGCCGAGCCGCCCGCCGGGCCGCCGGGCTGCGGGCGGGGACCGGCCGCCGAGACCGTCGAGTTCCCCGCCGACGGCTGGTACCCGGCGGGCCGGGCGCCCTTCGCCGCCCCCGCCGCCTGTGTCAAGAGCGAGCTGGGGCCCTGGGCCGAGGGCTACGCCGGCGCCTACGGTGATGTCCGGTGAGTACCCGCGTCCCTCCCGCACCGCGCACCCCGCCGGCACCGGCACCCCTCGTCCCACTTCGCACATCCCTCATCCCGCCGGCACCCCTCATCCCGCACCCCTCATCCCGCACCCCTCATCCCGCACCCCTCATCCCACTAGTCTCGGCACCCCACGCAGCCCCGCCACCTCCCATAAGCTGCCCCGGCAAACACCGTGGGTCCAGCTGTCCCCGGCTTGATTCACCTCTCCGCTGCCAGAGCCTTCCCGTTCACCGAAATGGTGTCACTTGGGACTTGTTGTGCCAGAAATACTGAGCTAACCTCCCGGTATTCTCTGCTGTCCCGTTAAGGTTGATTGCCTTTATCTCGTTTTGTTCAGCATCTGTTATTCCCCTTCTCTTGGCCGCTGTAAGCATGCGGGAATCGGGACACTGCGCTTGAAGCACGGTCCAATCTTGGGATTGAGTTAAAATCCTGCCAGCGCCTTGCTCTGCTGTGAGCTAGACAAATGGGGAATGAGCTGTGCAGAACAAACTGAAACTGCTCAATGTATAGGCAGAGAAATAATGCATGTGCTTTAACGTTCTAAGTACAGACAGAAAATGTGTTTTAAAGTAGAGACAGAAGAGTATTTAGGAATATAGCAGAGGAAGAAAGGGTTTTTTGAGAAGGACTCAATCAAAAATAACTTTTCCTGGTGAATTAACGTTAAAAAAGTAGATTAACTGTCCCTGTAAAATAGGTATACCCCGTCTAAATCTAAAGCAGTCATACTGACTGCATCATCGCCTTTCATCATGGCAAAACGCATTACAGGTGTCAGAGAATCGCTGCAGCTGATTGAAACAGGAGCAAGAAGGTGACTGCAAAAGGATTTCTCTGCTGGCTCAGGAGGAGCCCCAGCTACAGGTGGCTGGTGTGGCCTCAGCTTGAGTTTGCATCGTTGGAGTTTCACATTCACATGCTCGCCCTGTGGTACTGTGTCTGCTGGGACCAAAGATTAAAATGAACAATTAGAGTTTCCCTTTAAATTAGCACAGGGTAACTGCTGTGCTTCTATGCTTGTTTTGTTGCTTTAAAATGCTCACAGGTTTATTCAGGCAGTATAGTAATTATCATCCACACAATAATATACTTGAGCATTTGGCAAAAAAGAAGGGATAAAAAGTAAGGACAGGTCAAAACGAGTCCAGCTGTGAGTTGTACCGGTGGCAGGAGTTGTGCGTTCCCTGTGTATCTTCCTCTGGAGTCTGGATAAATCTCTGCCGAAATCAGTGCAGAGTGAGTAGGGATGAATAAAGTTGGAAAAGTTCAATTGTCCAAATTCTGGCAATGGATGGTGCAGTTTTTTGTTAGCAGAAGGCTCAGCCTCGCGATGGCTTGTTTGCCTGCGAAGCAAAGCCTGTGCAGTGGAACCACGCACAGCCAGGGAGTGTTGCTGTGGGGAAAACAGGTTTGGGCTGATGTGGTGGTCAGCAGGCAGCTGTGTGGGCTGGACCTGGGCAGCGGGCAAAGTGTGCCCACGTCTTGCCTGAGCGATAAAGGACACCTCCCTTATTTCTGTGGGAAGTGCTGTGTCCTGCTCTTCCTTGCGTCTCCATTCAGTGTGCTGCATCTGTGTCCCGATTCCACGGCACGGCGGCTCCCGGGGGGCCTGGGCTCCCGCTGGCAGGCTTCTGCAGGGATTAGTGGGGTCAGAGCTAGCACTGAGAGCTTCTAAAATACCATTAGCTTGTCCTTTGGACTCCATTGCTCATACAGCATTACCTGACTGCTGCAAGGGCATGGCAGACTGACCGTATTTATACCCCTCTCTGTGTTCAGATGCAATTTTAAAATGCTGTAAGGAAAGCGGAACGTTCCTGATCTTGCTAAAGCCATACGGGTTAATTGCTGACAGGTTTATATTTCATCCTAGCAAAGTCTCCATAAACTTTACAGGGTGCTGCCTGTCGATTTGCTGTGGCTTTTAATTTTCTCCTCAAAACGCAGCAGTGTCAGTGTGATGAGCAGCCCCTGCTGCAGCTGGAGCTGATGGCAGGGGATCATGTACCAGCTCCGCAGGCGGCAGCACTGGTGAGAAAGGAGGGTCGTGGGAGCTAAAATGCTTTATAGTAAAGTTCCCTCACTGAAGGATGGTCTGTTTTGGACCCGTATCCCCCTGCTAGATTCTAGTGCTAGGTTTAAGTTCTTGCCCAAGGTGGCATTGCACAGAAAACTTTACCCACTTGACCCCTAGAATATGTGGTCTCAGCATTTTCTTGGAGAGCCGTGGAGGGCACTTCTGTGGGCTCACTGCAGCTTTTCGGGCAGTGAGAGATCAGCCACTTCAGATCCTCACGCCGTTGCAGTGCTGGCAGCTGCAGACGCAGCCCAATCTCCTTTGAAGAGTAAAGGACCATTTTAAGGTGTGTTGCTCCTAGTTCTTTCCCTTTTTGAACAGTCCCGCTTTACGCTAGCGGGATCACATCTCTTCCATCCAACATGAACCTTTCTTCAAAACCCCAGCTCTGTGCTAGTGCAGTTCGGGGTCAGGTATAGGTAGGCATTTTTTAAATCAGAGGCACCCCTTCACCCCCCAACCCATAAAGGACACTAAAGCATGAACAGTTTCTTAATATTTTGGGGGGATTGTTTACATTTTCCCTTGATATAAACTACTATCAATTTGAGTTCTGGGGTTCCACGTAGAAGAGTTTACCTCTAAAGCCTTGAGAGAAGGGGGCTGGTCTGCTAGAGGGATTATTAATGGAAAATGGGGTACTGGCCTCCCCCTTGCTCTGGAACACAGCACGTGCACTCCTGGAGCAAACGCTGTCGGCTGCTGGGGATTGCCTCGGAAACCAACAGACCCAATGGGACCGAATTAAGGTGCCCCCTTGGCAGGAGCCCCTCTCGCTGTTTCATGGTGTGGTGGGGGGCACAGCGGGGGCATGGCTGCTGGGACCAGTGCAGGTCCGTAACTGCTGCCTGCCCCTTGGCTTATGCAGAGGGGGGGGGATTTGTCTGGGTGTAGAGGCACTGAAACGTTACACAGGAAACAAAGCAGGGATCAGCAAATTTGATTTAAATTAAAGCTTTTGATATAGCATACCTGATTGTGCCAGTAATGCTTACATGCAATTAGCAAATTAATCCAAGCTTTCGTTACACTGTGGACTTGTAGCTGTTTATCTTTGTGCTCTGGTTATTGCATAATTACTACCAGCAGCCTCTCAGATGACTAAATAACCTGTTTTAAGAGTGAGACACAGCATTCATAGAATAAATCCAAGGTTATGGCATCAAACTGACTTGTCCGATCAAAACACGGCAATGAGTAAGTGGTGTATGCCTATTTGGTTTAAGCAAAAATGGAATCAAAAAGGAGCTATTACTGAAGCAATGGAAACAAAGGTGATAAATTAATATAAGGGGTAATTGGCTCAGAAAAATATCTAGCTGTCCACGTAGTTTCAAATGTTTTTTTAAGTGGCATTTGCTATTACTACTGTTACCTCTTTGGTATCCCTGTGTTTGCTGATCACACCTACCTGCAGATTCCTTTCTTCGGTTCGGCTGTAATCGGCTTGGGTGAGTGCCATGTGTTTATGCATCACCTGGCATAATGGCTGTATAATCTTTTTTTTGTGGCCAGCTATGTAATTGTGATACTGCTTGCAGATAATACCTGTAATAATTTCTACCCAATAGGAGTAGATAAGATTCTGATAAGGAGATCAGGGGCGGGTTATTACACTAACAGATGAGACGAGGCAGGAGGCTGTTCTCCCAGCTGCCCTGGCTCCCAGCCCGTAGCTGCCGTCCGCCAGCGCCCGCCTGGGTGCTGCTCTGGTGTCCCCATCCCCAGGAGAGATCTGGGGACCCTCGGCTCTTCACAGGCGGGACTCCAAAGCCCTTGGGAAGGGGATGACCCACCCATTTGCTGTTGTCAGTGTGACCTTTCTGCTCAGGTGAACGGCGGTATTATGTAAATATTTCTTTTGAAGACAAGCCGTGCGTGGAAGAATGCTGTTTCTGAGGTCTGTCCCTCTGGCCAGCTTCGTAATGCACACTCGTGGTCCGCAGCGACTGGTACGGATCCATGGACAGTGAACCTTGGGTGGCTGGGAAAGTCATTGATGTGCTAAAGCTTTTTGATGGTTCCTGATAGAAGGAGAAGCATAAAAAAAAAAAAATTCTAAAAATTCTTCCTCATCATCTTTTAATTCTTGTCCCTGCTGACAGGCATGAGAAGGCTGTTTTAAACACAGACTAAAACGCCAGTCCTGCAGCAGTGCTGTGTCTGGTTTAGAGAACTCGGGACTCCTTTGAGTGTGAATTGGCACGCTACCAGGCTAGGACAAGATGCTCGTTTGTCACGGCTTGAATTAAGGTTGGGAAACAAGTGATGCACTGGGGCTGGATAACTGGAATAGCCGGGATGTTCTGCTCAAGCCTTGTTCTTGCAGAATGGCAGGGGGTGCAGGGAACCCCTCGCATCCAGGGAGAGTGGCAGAGATGGACACTGTCACCTTCCCTGCGGCCCTACTGGGTGCACAGCAGTAACAGCTCCTTTTTCTTGGTCCTGAGAGCTGTTATCTGAAGAACTGTGACATGCAAGCCAAAGCTCGTTTATTTTCTTCCATGCTTAACTAGTTGACTTGTTTTCATTTCAGTTTTGAAGGTGCTGATTTATATAGTCTTTCCCATGAGTTAGTTTTTATTTAAGCTGATAAATGAGATTATCCTTTTCCACAGCTAGTTATGTAGCCTCAGCGGTGGCATGAGGGCAGCAAGTGGCCCTTTCCAAAGACGGGGTATTTGACTTGATGCTGGGTGCACGCTGAAATCCATATCAGGAGCCTGGGTCCTGGTGGCGTAACATGCAGAGAGATGGGCTGCTTGCTTTTGAAGATGCCCAGAACCACCCAGAAAACACTCCAGACTGGAAGGATCATGGTTCTTGTGTTAACACACTGTCTGAGCCCACAGACATTAAAAAAACACTGGTACCCTTGATCCTCAGTCCAGTTTGTGCTTGATAGTGCAACGGCCCGAGTGGTGAAGGCTCTGTCAGAGGGGCTGGCACAGCCCTTTGCCATTAAATTGGGGTTTAGATCTATGGCACTGAATGAAGGAAAAATAACCGTTTCCAGTGTTCTTTATTTTCCAACTTGCTCCTTCCACTGAATTGATTTTGGTTCTGGGGTTTCTTAATATTTTCATAGCATATGCCAAGTATCATAAAATGGTCCCGTTCTTTCCCCCTGTCTCTTCCTTCTATCTGTCCCTCCCTCTCTTGCTGACTCTCCAGCTCTCCCTTTACCATCGGGAAGGGGAGATGCATCACCTTGTTAAGGGATGGGCTATGGAGGACATACACAGTGTGTTTGTGTGGGACCTGCCCGTCTGCTCTTATAATGCAAAACATCTCTTTGCATTTTCACCCATTCATTATAAAACTGTCCAGGGGCAGACTTTGCCCCATCCTCTTCTGTGCTTTCCCATCATC